AGGCAGACATGTACGACAAATAAATAAGGAACAAGTAGTAGCACAAGTGCTGAGGCGATTGACTCGTTGATACCCCTTTTATAGCACAGAGTACAGCAGTGTTTAAAAAAAAAATTAGGGATGCCTCCCATTCAACAATTATTAAACAATTATTTATTAAAAGTGTTAAGTAAAAAATTGAATATCCTAATTGAATATTTATTATTCACCGTTGAAAGCTTAAAAGTGATGGCTGTTTTTATTAAAATCCTTAAATCTATAGCCACATAGTAATAAAGCAAACATCATCATTGATTTATTAAACATAATTTTTATGCATGAAAAGAAGCAATTAATGAAATTGCAATAAAAAATGACCACTAAGACTAATATTTTAATCCGGATCGAAATTGTTTTTGCCATTTGATTGCTTTGTGTATTAAATATCCATCAAAAAGTGCTTTATTTCCGACCCAACTACAGGGTAGCACCTAAATATCCAGCGACGAAAGGATAAGGAGCCAATGCGGCTCAGCTCCGAAATGTCGACGCCTCAGTCCTTTGTCGCTGCTGTGTGATGTGTCTGTGTGAAATATGCTGGAATGACATAGCAATAAAACTGCTACATAGGAGTAGCACGCAGCAACTTTGAGGCAACACAGGCAACAGAGCAAAAGCAAAAGCAACAGCATAGACAATTGTTGGTTGTTTCCTGCTAGTTGGTTGCCTTAAACATGCTTATTTCGGCATCTCTTTCTCAGACGCCATATCCCATCCGATCCTACAGCTCCATTCGTAGTACTCCACCCTTACCCCATATCCCCATCCGTTTGTGTGAGGAATTTTTAATAAAAGCGGCTCAGACAGGCACGAGAAAAGGCGGCTCAGAACAACATCCCATGTAGGTTACTGGCACGCCCCGGGATAAACAGCAACAGCTACAGCTACTGCTACAGAAAAAGCAAAAACAAGACCCAAAACCAAAAGGAAAACTTTGTCCCCAGCACGTGTGACGTGTCCCCGTGTCCCCGTGTTAATAAAACGAATTTTACTTGGGAAATCATTGAGGCCTACACGATTTTTAGAGCCGCGCAACTGGTTTATGTTGCTCCTGTGGATTTATCGACAACTTCAAGGCACCTCGAAGGCACCCACCTCCCATACTCCACAGCGAAACTTATAGCGATAGCGAGTGTATCCTTTTTACGACACTGCCTGTCTGTCTTCGGTCCTGCCTTCCTGTCTGCCCTGAAAGTGTTTTGGTTCACTTTGAGCTGGCACTTTGGCTAAAGGCTTTAAAACCGGGCTGAGCTGGGAGAAAGCGCAGCTGGTGAAGAGTTTTCGATTGTGGAGTGCTTTTTAATAGCCACGTCTTCTGGGGCGCGCTCAAGGCTGTTTGGTGGTCATAAAAGCTGGCAACAGACAATTGAGACCCGGCCATGGACCGTGGAGCCATGGGGAGCCTGGTGGAGAGCCACTCTAGTTTAAGCTAATTTATGACAGCATCTAATTTGGCCGACAATAAACAAAACAATTCGCAGCCATGCTCGGACTCTGAAAATTAGTTGAAATCAAATGCATAAATTTTCCTCTTTCTTGGATGATTCCGTTTTGCCATCGTTTTTGCTTTTGCTTGTGCGCCAGAGTTACGTGACCGAAATAGTTGAGTTTCTGCAGGAAAAACGCTGTGCCAAGTGAATCAAAAAATAATGCCCCCAAAAAACACACATATATAGTATGGATGTACATCCCATACACCCACTACCCAGCCGAATCTTGATTCGAATTCGAGAAAAATAAAAACAATTTTCCGTGTTCTTTTGATGAAAACCTTAAAACAACAAAGAACTCACTCTAGGGGATGAGTGTGGGAAACAACAATTTTGCACACACTCGCATAATACCCCAAAAAACCTTGGCTGTCATATAAATGTCAAATCCATAAGTGTTACGAAGGCAACACCGAAATGTTGGCGGTCTGACCTGCCTAAAAACGTAACCTTAGCAAGAAAAACTTTGGCAAAATAAATGCTTTCGTTGTCAATGACATCTTTTCATATTTTATTTAAAAGAAAATATTTTTATAGAAAAAACCTTGACTCCGAAGTCAAGTACCTGTTAAGAACTTGGGTTTTCTATTAATATACCTTCTAGAGAACATGTTTTCTAAAGTAATCTCTTGCCTCTTGAACCCACATATCTGGTATTCTTTAAATAGAAAAACATACCTCATAAATAATAAAAAGACTAGACAAAAAAGAAACTTCTTGACCAGATCGTAACCCAAATGCCAATTAAATGATTAATGACACCCCATTAAGTTCCGCCGCAAAGCTATCCACTCCTTATGCAAATCAGAGTCTGCTGCCCTTCCGGTTGAACTCTTTCCCACGCATTCGTCTTGGGTTCCAGCGGAACCATATGCCATTAAAATCAACAACAGAGAAAGTTTGTTTCTTCAAGCAGTTTCTTGGAGGAATAAAAAATATGTGTGTGTATTTTTTACCAAAAAAAAAAACATATGTATGAGGGGGAAATCAGGTCGGCCGCCTACGTCCTATTGATAATGTGTGCCTTGGCTGGACTTGGAGAAACCGCCGGGCTTCGGGCTGAATGTTTGTGTGAATAACCTGGACCCGCCGGCAAATAGATCTTACCCTGCCGAATCGAAACCCTCGAGGATGTGCTTTGCATACTTCGAGGCGCCTCGCAGTGCGTGTCTGTGTGTGTGGTGTGTGCGTGATGCCAGGCACTTGTCTGGGCCAATTCCTGGGTTCATTCATCAGTCTGACACTGCTGAATGATGTGCTCCACTGATTGCTAGCCCAGTCCACCCAAAACCCCCCCAAACCACCAATCAATTATTATTATTTTTATCCTCCAGCGCCTGACAACCGCATAACTTGTGCATTAACTGGACTCAACTGGAAATCACGTCTGCTATTATCATATTTTTTTGTCGGTTTGATAATTTCTTTTCGTTTTTAGTGGCACGAGAAATATTTACAAAAATATTTAACAGAAACTGGGTGCGGAAAAAGTCCACTGAATGGCATGGAGTTATGTGCGGAAAAAAGGAAATCGTTTGTTTGCCTTCAATGGCAAACAGCTGTGCAAATATCTGCATTTTAACGTACATCGTAACACCCATACGAACATAAACGTGAAAACCGCAAGGGTAAAATTTATTTATTAATAAACCAACAAACCAAACAACACGAGACCGCGAAGGGACACGATCGAAAAGTTTTATGAATTCATTATGGAAATATGCGTGTGTTTTTATCGAATTTTTCGGTGTCAATTAATCGAGGAAAAAGTGGTAAACAACTTACTATTCAGAACCCAAAAAAAAGGGAGAGCTTCCGTGGAAATTACGAATTTCCACACCAATTATGGAACTATTTGTATCGCTTACGAGAAAAGGGTATATTGGAAATGTGGGACGTATAAAGGGATATTTTTTATTGGTTTTATAAAAGAGATGGGCTTTTTTGGTAAAAGAATCATAAATATTTCTTAAAATTAAACTTAAAACCTTAAATTTTAAGACTTTTCTGTATTCAGAATATATAATATTCGTCACCTGTAATAAGATCAAAGAAAAACCATCATCTCCCGCATATAAAGAACAATTCAGTGGGAAGCCGTCTTGATTGCTTGCCTCTCTGCAGACTTTCAATTGCCAAAATGAGTAATTTTTGTTTGTCTGTGCTTAACCAACTTCAAGTAGCTTTTAGCCAAATGAAATGCCCAGACAGATGCCAGAAGAAAGCCAAGAGCCAAGAAGATGGGCAAAGAGGCAAGCAACTCAAAGGCAAGCAAAGGAAACAATTTGCGCAAAAGTGAATTGCATTCGGAAAGTATTTTATTTGAAAATTACAAAGGGCCGACGAACCGCCAAGGCAAATGATGGAAAATTATATAAAAATGCAATTTGCAGTTTACTGAAATGACAGACCCGGCCAGCCGGCAGGGCAAGGCAAACAGAGGGCTGGAAAAGCGGAAAGCTGGAAATTGAAAACAGAACACTGAGACCATACACAGGCACAGAGTCCTGAGTACAGACAACTAAAACCCGAAACCAAAAACTAAAAAGCCAAGCCCACTGGCACTAGTTTCGTGTGTCAACTGCCACATGCAACGCAGAGGCAGAGGCGGAGGCTGAGGCTGGAGGAGAGGCAGCTGCAACATCAACAGCAACTGCAGCCAGGAGCGTTTCGACCCTGACCAAGCTTCAACAGCATTTTCCAAGTGTCTGCCGCTCGTTAGTATTTGTTATTCGTTTTTTATTATATTTTTTGCAGTTGCAGTCCCACATTTCTATCTCAGCTGCGCGCTTCTAGTATTTGATGCATTGAAAGTGAGATTTTTGCCCTACTGTTGCAAAGTATTATATAAAATGTTTGCCCTGCCCACTCACTCGCCAACACATCGCACATCTCACATGTGGCATATATGTATCGCACATTGCATGTGGCAGGACGCAGGACACACTTTGAGGTTGAATGGTTGGATGGTTGAATGTTTGTCCATTCATTCTCGCAGGCCCTTCACCCACTCGCTGGGCCAACCTTGACGCCTGCGAATCTAGGACTAGGACTAGGACTCTGCCCAGGACCTTTCAGGCTGCTGGAGCTGGCATTAAATGCTTTCACCTTTTGACTCCTCGAGACAAAAAGGTTAACTTCTCCCCGTCTGATGCGGAATTAAAATTCTTAGCACAAAAATTAAAGAATTTCAATTCGCATTCTTCCCCCCAACTTTTCGCGGACTTTCCCCCCTATTTTCTTTTGGGGTTTTTCCGGGAAATTGGAAGGGAAATCCTAGGCGACAAACGAAAACCTTCGAGAGGGGGGTCGCCCAATTGCTTTGGGGCGTTGCGGGGCTTGGCGGCAATTAGAGCTCAGCAACCGGGGACGGGTGCAAACAAATTAAATTTAATTAGAAATTAAATGAAAATAAATTGGATTATTTAATTAAAAAGCCCGATGCCGACGCCGACGCCGAGGCTGACTTACCTCGAAGCAGAACCATCGACAGCAGCAGCATCCAGCCGATGAGCCAGTTGAGTAATCCGAAATTGGCTCTGGATGGCAGGGACATCGCACTCATTCTGTGTCTGCTGCTGTATCCTCAATATCTGTGGTTGTTATCCGGCAACTTTATTGTTATTACGCTTGTACTCCTCGGCACGCGATCCGCCAACACTCGGTGGTGGGGGGTGAGACGGTTGCTGGGGACAGGACTTTGTTGGTCAACTAACGATTCCGTCAAATTAGTGCCGGGAAAAACTCTCGGTTCTAAGCTCTGCCTGGGGACCAATGAAAGTGTTTCCTCTGCACGGTTTTTACTTTTACTTTATATTTTATTTTATTCTTTTTTTGTGTTCTTTTTCACTTAAACGTTTTCCCTTTTTCTGGTTTTTTAGCTACACAGTGTGAGTTTTGCACAAATTCTTCTCCTTTCACTTGAAAAAGATCTAAAGCCCCTTACAGAGCCGCTAAATAGGAGCTACTTGATTTATCGCACGGTTTCCACTCTAGTTTAACTTTTGTGTATTTTTGCGGCCTGGGTCCGTTGGGTGGGGTGGTTCAACTCATTATGGGGCTTATGCACGTGGCTATTGCATTTTAATCGCCCGTCATTAATTCGCCATTAACACGCAGGGCCCTCGACTCATTAGGCCTTTTTTTCTCAGCCCAAAAAAACACTTTCCACAAAGAAGTCCGGTGGCTAGTAGCTCGCGTCACATAAATCAGAAACACGTGCTTTGCTTTCGAGTTGCAGAATGAAACTGACTGTGTGGCGGACGGTGGTCGGGTCGCCACCAGCGAAACGAATGCCACATAGTCCTCGGCTGCTGCTCGGTTTTGGGCCACCTTTTTTGGCTTTCGGCTCCGGGCTAAGAGCGAGCCCCAAAGAGAGAAAGGCCACGAGGCGGGTGGTGAGTGGGTGGGTGGCTGATGGGGACTTTTGAGCCTGCTCGGGTTATTGGAGCACGAAATTGCCAAGAATCTTGGAGTGGAGCTATTAAGACTCTTTGTTTGTTTATTGCAAGTCCTCGATTGAGCTTATTGAAGTATATTTTATTTATATTATTTTTTTCAGCTTGCATGCTGGTGGATAAACATAAAAAATTAATATTTAGATATATAAGCTTTTCTTGAGACGAAATTAAAATATTTTCAGCGTATATGTTGTGTTTTCAAATGTTTATTTTGATTTCAAATGGCGTTAAATGTTTATTTTGATTTGCCACCTACGTAGATTCCTTAATTTGTTTGTAAACAAATATTTTTCCTTTGATTTCTAACGTATGTAAGACCTGTTTAATTTTAAATAAAATAAACTTTAAAACTAAACTCAAAAAACAATACAAAAACTAAGAAATTACATCCTGGCATAGGTCAGTTAAATGAACGTATAAGACCCTCTCCTGACTCTTATACAAGTGAAAGCCAAAGAGAAAATATCCCTGAGTGAAAGTTACTTCCGGTAAAGTGTGACTTGGTTCCACTGCATATTCTCTTCAGTTCAATTGACCAGCAAAAAATTCATTTTTAATTAATGCTTGTAATTACCCAGTTTTAGCTTCGACTCCCTCCTTTTTTGGTGGTTTTTATTATTCGGAAACAAAACCCTATCGACTCCCAACCTCTCCGCACAAAGAACAAGCACACACGAGAATTTCAATCAATTTGCAAAACTTTTAATTACAAGTCAATTTAATTTTAAACAAACAAACAGATCAAATGCACTCGATAGATGGCCTCGATTCTGGATGTGCCCACACCCTCGATTGGTCAAGCCGAAGCGTTTAAATCAATTAAATTAATTAGCGACTGTGAAATATATTTGCAGATTGGTAAAACTTTTTTCCAACTGATTATATTTAATTAATTGGCCCAGCTTTTGGCTTTCCCAGCTTACGACAGACTCCACAGCCGTATAGACTGTTGTGCAATCGACTTGCGGGCTTATAAATACCCCGCAACCAAGGTCGTCGCAATTAGCGCCCCAAAAAGCGATTATTCCCATTCGATAGCCAACCGATCTGGGGATGGCGACGGAGACGGCCAAGATGGCGATTGGGCTGGGCGGTGGTGGCACGTGTCAATCGCAAGCCGATTATAGATAAAATTAAAGGCGAAAAAGGCAAAATCAGTAAACTTTTTAATTGAAACAATTTGTAAAATGTTGCCCAATACCCAGACCCACCAAAAATAAAGAACAGACAAACTTTCAGGTCTCGCTTTTAATCTTCGTCTTCGGAGCCTTGAGCGCTCAATTCACCTAACAGGAGCTTTTCCCTAAGCTGGAATCCTGCCTCCTGCCTTGCGTGATTTCTTTATTGAATTACTCGGCTGCTTTAACAGCGGGGGCGTGCCAAAAACTGAACAAAAATATCGCTATTGATTTTCTATATTGACAAAAAACAAAAAAAAAAAGAATTTTGGAAAAAATCTGGCTCGGTTTATGTTTCTAGCTTCGTTTGCCAAATCATTATTCCAATCAGAGACGCACGCGCGACTCACAATTGGATTTCGATTCGGCTATGGATCCGGGTGGGTCGGAGGTCGAGGGTTTGAGTGAGCTGAGCTGAGCAAACAAATCAAAAATCTATTAAGGCGTGCGATGCGGCATATTCCGGCTCAGCCGATATCCTTTGCGGTCACGTGTCGCACGAAGATGCAATCGCACACTCAGCAAAATATAAGCTTTAACTGGCAGACAATACCTGAAAAAAGTTAAAGATATTTTGGTTATTTTTTTTGTTAAGAAGACAAGTCTGAATAGACTTCGATTGTAATTTAATATTATTAGACTTCATGTCTACAAAGTTTGCTAAACATTCTGAGAAAAAGAATAAAAAGTAAGACAAGCAAAACTTTTAATTGTGAAATGTAATATGCACCTTAATGTTTAATTAACTGGCTCCTATTTCAACAATTATAAATGAAAAATATACTTATATTTTAATACTAATACTACTCAAATATTTCAAGTGTAATTGTATCTTTCGAATCCTGTTGACATCAGTGCATAAGTACCACCCTCATCCTCACCCTCGTCGCTGTAGCGATGCAGGAGATGGAGTTGGAGCTTAACCCAGAGATGGCTTCATTAGGAGTGCAGCGGTGAAAGTGATGACCCTTTGGGGGGGATCCATAACCGAGAAGGTCCCAGGACCGAGGGTGGCAAGTGCCATTAATTGAAATGCCAAGCAACAGCTCGTCAGGGCAACGAGGCGTGGCCAAATTACAGCCGCACAGACACGCGTGTCCGCCACATCCGCCCAACCACCACATCCCCCCCCAAAGTGTTTATACTTTTGAGATGATTTTGATTTCGAGTGTATGTTTGTGAGTGTATGTGTGTGTGCGTGTACGGTGTGCGTGTTACCCGCTCTCCAGGGGAGGCCTATAAAACAAAGGAAACCAAAGCAAGGCAAACAATCGCGAAGGAAAAGAAATGAGCGGCACTGCAATAAAAATCAAACCCGCATAATTTAACACAAGTGCGAGCTCTTCACAGCTGATTCTTGGCCACGGGGGAGGCAAAAATGGGGCTGGTTACACAGAGAGAAATTATACAACTATAATTGGAGGTGGATGGAGGAAGAAGTTTCAATTGTAATAAGGCTTAAAAGGCTTTAATAATGTTTTTTTAATTAGAATCCTTATAGTCCTTGGCAAAAATGGGGCTGGTTACACAGAGAGAAATTATACAACTATAATTGGAGGTGGATGGAGGAAGAAGTTTCAATTGTAATAAGGCTTAAAAGGCTTTAATAATGTTTTTTTAATTAGAATCCTTATAGTCCTTGTCTTGATCTACCTTTGTAGTTTTTCTCAGTGCTTGAAGGCATGTGTGACAACACTCAATCCCCTTGCAAAACATCTCAATTATTTGTTGGCTTTGGGACGCCACCGCTCGCCCACCCCAGCCTCGCACTTTCGCACTGTCCTGCCCCACAGCAGCAGCAGGGAGCAGAAGGCGATTTTATTATCAGAAGCAAGAGCAGCAGCTACAACATCAACATTAACATTTAAAACAATTTTCAATGCTGTAAAAATAACTGTAAAAATGCCTGGAAAGGAGCAGAAAAAGCCAGAAGGAAAACAAATAACAACAAAAACAGGAGCAGGGCAAGAGCCGGAGCAGGAGCGTTAACTATTTGTATTTCTTGGCATACAATTCACACGCCTGCATACTTAATGCCAGCAGCAACCACAAGGACCAAGGAAACAGGAACAGCATATTCGCCAGGACCTCTGGCCCTGCTGCCCCTTCCGCCCCGTCTTCTGTTACCCTCTTCCTGCCACCCCCGAACGTAATTGTGGAAAATCACAAGGGGGTGCCGACCAAGTAAGCCACACAACAGTTTTTCTTATCGCTCAAATGTCATCGACTGTCGGCAGTTTTTGGCTTTAGCTTTCGCTTTCGCTTTGGGTTTGACTTCAGTTTTTGGCTTTACGTTAGCCGAGCAACCCCTCTGGCCTTAAGCCCACTCGCCACCCGCCCCACTCCGCCCAAAAAGGGCGTTCGTTTGTGAAATTCTAGCCATACCCGGGGGCGGCACTTGCGGCATTTAGTTAGTAATTTAGCGCATTTAGTACGCAATTTCGACCAAGCTGGAGGAGGTTAAAGGGGGCGGGGAGGTGGTGATAGCCGGAGAGCTCCAACTGCTCTACTGGGGTCACGGCCTTGGTCATTAAGCCAGCTTTCTCGACGATGGTAAAGTGCACAATAATTGTAGTTTTGCCGCTGATTCGCTCATGAATATGTGTACACATTTACATACAAGCCAAAGGACTTTTCTACAGTCAAATATCTGTAAGTTGAACTCTCTTAAATTGGTTATTGATTACAGTACAAGTTGCTTAAATTATAGAGTCAAACAATTTAGGGGGACTACTGGATTACGACTCTCTTCTAAAGGTCAACATGGAACAATGACATTTTCGGAATGAGTTCATAGTCCTTCCATTTTTTATTCGATTAGGAGTTAATATTTAAGCTATATCCCAATAGACTTATTAAAGATAGTATTAAAGATAGTTTTTTCTACAAATATAAATAATATGTGCATCTAATTTTTTCGATAATTTTCTATTACATGATATTCTACTGTACACTTTCTAAAGAACACCCTGAGATTCCTTTTATAGCCTTTGAAAGCGTTAAAGCCTAGAGATAATTTGAGTTTGAGGTTTGGTATAGTTTTTCCTTAGTCCTTTGCCTTCTTAAACCTCTTTCCCCAACTCTGAAAGGACTTTTAACGCATTAACATAAATAATAAATATTCCCTAATGCAATTCTGATTCCAGCAATGACACAGACAGGTTTCGGGTTCAGACAATAACATAAACACTGCACTGGCTCGCCGAGAAAGGAGATTCAAAGTTAATAGTTTGCCTGGGCAGGGTCCAGGGTTGAGGTCCTTTGGCCACATAAATTTCTCATCAAAATCAATATCTGGACTCTGGCAGAACTGTGGAATATGGGTAAATGGTGGCCATTGACATTGGCTAGTGTTAAAGTTAATAAATTGTGGCCAAGGAGGATTTATGTGGTCGGGCGCTGCCCTCGACGGCAATGACATTTCAATGTTTACATAAGGATCCGGCCAGAAAGAGATTGGGCCGAGGAGGGGATTACGGGTAAGGGGTAGGCAGGCTGCGTGCGTGGCTGATTGTATTAATAACCATCCTGACACTGCGATATGCGTGACGGTGCGAATTCCCACACCGAAAACAATATTTTCCTTCCCAACCCAAGCGAACTTAAAGGGCTCTCCAAAAAATATATTTTTGTATTAAATAAAAATGTTCCTTCCAATACTAAGTCACCCTTTAAGTCTCTCAGTGCATTACACATATGAAAAAGTCTGGACTTAAAAGCAAAACCTACTTCCTTTAGGCCACAGAGTGCATGTCAGAAAATCATAAAATATGTCAATCCCGAAATTTCCACAAGTCATTCGACCATTAATAGTGAAATCCCGCCCACCCAACGGCAAGCAGAACAATTAAAATTTAATAAACTAATTGAAATCAATAAATACGTCAAGTTAAAGTAATGTCAGATGGCTTTTACCTTTAAGCCTTGGCAGTTGAGGTTTCAGATTGCCAATTCCAGTCAATTGAAAACGAGGAAGAATTTAAAGTCCATGTCACTTTAATAAAACAATTTCAAAACTTATTTCTTTGGGGTTTTTGAATGTCGGATAGATTTACGAAGTCTGTAAGACCTAGTACTTAAAGTTCCAGGTCTGATCTCCACCTGACGCCGTCTTCGGATCCCCAGTTTTGATCCCAAAACAATGCAGGTCTTCGCATTGGAGGTTGTGGTAGGGGTAGAAAACGTAGGTCCAGCGGTACTTGTGTAAGTAACATCAGTAGTTGACGATGGACTTGACCCGTATGTGGTCGATCCAGTTGGCGTAGAAGTTTGTCGCCACTCTCCCGAGGGATCTACACTATCATCGTGTTTATCGTTGCTCCTGCCATTGATAATATCGCCATCGACACTCCGGCTGTCGAAGCAAATTTCCTGAGCTGTGCCACTGCTACTGGAAGTGGTCGATGACGAGGTGGAGTTCAGTAGGCTCGTGAGGTACTCGATGGTGACGTTTGAGGTAACCACATCGAAGAGAATGGAGCCGCCAATACCCTTCACAACTCCCAGAGCAAGTCCACTAAGACCCGTCAAACCGGAGACTACGGATTTTCCAGCCGGACTATAGGCTCCAATGCTGGATTCGTCGAGAGCATTTCTCAGCTCCCCAGCTGACAGTGGACGGATGGAGAGTCGCCGAGCTATACGGATAGTTTGTATAAATCTATAGATTTTTATAATTCTTGGAGGAGACACTTTCACTCTTTAATTTTACCTTCAGTCCCGACTATGAAAATAAACAAGGAAAGTATTGCTATTCTGAAAAGCTTCATCTTAGCTATGATCTTTCGCGAGGTATTGTTGAAACCAAACTGAAAGCGCCTTCCAATTCCCTTTCACTTTTAAGGTTGATCGCTTGTCAAAGAAAGTTTGAAATTTTGCATACATTTCTAAAAGATACAACAAAAATTCTTTGACCTCACAAAAGGTTATAACCCAAAAACAGGTTTTAATAATTTAAAACTGTTGCTACGGGAAATATTTTTACAAAATTTGAGTTTCTAAGTTACCTTGGTCAATAAAAATAATATTGTTCCTTAAGAATTGTAGATCAATGATTTTAATAAATATAATATAATAATAAAAGTCAATAAATAGTCTTAACTATAAACTAATTCTAAGTGAAGTTTATTCAATGCCTTCGGAATCTGCGGTTTGGATGCCGATGAGACCTGCGGCGTCTAGGGGACTCAGATCGTAGAGTTCCGGATCGAATATACAGTTGACGTCGTCGCCGAGAACCCTTCGATCCCAAAACAATGCAAGTAATGCCCGATGACCCTGAGGTCATCGTGCCAGTTCCGGAGTCGGTGGATGTATTTTGTCTCCACTGTCCATCGTCCACTGGCTCACTATAATCATATGCATCAACCTCATCGTTGCTCCTGCCATTAATAATATCGCCATCGACACTCCGACTGTTGAAGCAAATTTCCTGGGCGGTGCCACTGCTACTGGAAGTGCTCGATGACGAGGTGGTGTTCAGTAGGCTCGTGAGGTACTCGATGGTGACGTTTGAGGTAACCACATCGAAGAGAATGGAGCCGCCGATACCTTTCACCACTCCCAAAGCAAGCCCCCCAAGACCCGTCAATCCCGATACCACGGACTTTCCAGCAGGAGTATCTGCCCCTATTCCGGATTCCTCGAGGGCATCCCTTAGCTCCCAAGTTGACAGTGGACGAAGAGCGAGGCGGCGAGCTGCCAAAAGATTAGATATTGACCAGTTAGGGCACTATGTTCTCAATCACTTATATCTCTTTAGAAATATCATATTGTATTCACTTTCACTCTATCACGACTCACCTTCAGCTCCAGCAAAAAAATACACTGTAAGGATAACTAGGCAAACTGCCACATTCCCGGACGACTTCATCTTTGGGGCGATCTCACGCACAATCTCGCTGAAATCTAACTGAAGAAACTCTTGCGTTCTGTTTGACTTTTATGCGTGACGCCAGGGCAAAGAAAGTTTCATATTTTGCATATGCAAATCGAAAAATTCCAATGAAAAATACCACAAGATCTGACCTCTGACAGAGCAGCGGCCCTTAAACTGGTTTTGCTAAAATTATAATTTATTGATGGCTCTATTTAATTCTGTGCTTGATAAATGATACAGGTTACATCAGCATTGGGTCCTTGGAGAACGTTTTGTTCCTTATTGTCGAAGTAAACCTCAGAACCCTCCATGTTAAAGCATACCTCTCGAAAGGATACACTATTTCCTGTGACCTGATTCTCTTCCGTTTCCGTAATATTGGCAGTTATGACATCGTATATGAAAACAGCAGTAAGGGCTTTTCCCAATCCAATAGCGAATCCCGCCAAGCCAGCAATGCCACTGGACACCGATCGAGGGTTTTCCAAATCCTTCATCTCTAGGGACTTAAGCGGTCGAAAATCCAGACGTCTTGCTAAAAATATGATATGAATTAGTTATTGAATTCTATGTGGTATTATCAGTATTATTACCCGAGGGGTTTTCAAAAAAATTTAAAAGAACTATGAAGCCCAGAAAGAGCGACCTCCTCCACATGTGGTTCCTGCTCATCTTTCAGAAGCACAACAAACTTGGCCCATGACTTTAACATTGATTTATACCACTTTTAATAAGAACTCATTTGCATAAAAACTAATCACTGCCAGTGCCAGCAGCAATCACTCAACATTGACGTTCATTTGTTTTTAAAAGCAGGCAGATTTCTTTGTTATTAATATTCTTTCTTTTCATTTTTTCTTTGCCAATCAAGCACTTTCACTTTGGTTGATATGAATATGGAAACTGGCCAAATGAGCAGCAACGAAGGCGAAAGCAAAACCTGATGTGGGATTAGCATTTATCACAACACACGCCGGGGGGTTAAATAAAAAAAAAAACTAAACATACATTCTCGGAGATGACCTGGCCATTAAACGGGGTCACAAGGTGCTCCACCTGACGGCCCAATCTGGGGAATCTTATGTAACCTTTAGGTTCTGGTTTCGCAAGTGAAATTCTTTGTCGAAAATAGTAACAAATGAAAATTAGTAAATACATACCATAATGATCTAATACATCTATTTCTAAATTACTTTATTTTGGACAATATTAAATGTAGACCCGCCTGGGGTTAGATGTCCTATAAATCGGGTTTTGGTAGTTGACCTTTTTTTCCCCCATTCTTTGTGTGTTGACTATAAATTCAGATTTTGTGGCTCGGCGGAAGTATTAAGCTGATTTTATGGCTTACAACTGCATACTTAAATCTGTTTCCAGGCCAAATCCGAGCTTGATAGGACCAGGGGGGCTGCTGGGAGGACTATCTATTCCTAGCTCCGATTTGGCAAGCGATACGCAGGCGGTCGCTGGCTCGGTCGGTCCCAGGGTGCACTTTTATTTGCCACGTACAACTTGTGAATGGCCGGGCAAAGTGGCGCATAAAAAGTTTTAGTTGCAGCTTTGTCAGACATTTGCTTTTTAAAATGGCTTAAGGCTGACATCTGCCAATTGGCGGGGAAGTTTCTGGCTTTCGGCTCCCTCCCCGGGGGAGGTACGTAAAATCCAACTCCTCCTTATCTCATTGCTGGCTTTTCCTGGGGGGGTATGTCATCCGAAAAAAAGGCAACAGCTGGGCTGCAACAAGTGAGATGCCAGCAATGAATACTGAGCTGTCTGCGCACGCGAACAATGCCACATCAGCAACATCATTAGCATCATTATGCCCCATATCCATCCTGGGATGTCGCAGCCCGCCCCGCGAGGCAGCGGGCGTTGTGCATAATGCCATTTGCAGCTCATTAATCAGTTCTGACGCACGTCGGGCTCAAGTCAATGGGACGCAAGGAAAGTCGACGTTGGCCAGGGAACGTGCAACATAATCGGATTGCCAGCCCATCGACGCAACGCCAAGGGAATGGATTAATCAAAGAGCACTTTTCATCCGGCATCTGCGAATATTATGTTTCACATAATTATTGAATCAAAATGCAAGCATTCAGGTTTAAGCAAATCTATGTAGCTATTATGACTTATTTCAGAATTTAACTCCAACCCTATGGAATTCTGGGCATCTGTGCAACTTCTGCACTGTTGCAGGTTCAACAAGATGACTTTTGTGGGCCAGAAGCTGCAGCACAATGGGCAGCAAAAAATGGTGGCAGGCTGAAGGCGGCAGGCAGCACATAATTTCATCGTTTTTTGCTGGTTTTATGTGGCACGGCTGAGTGGATTTTATGCTGTGCAGCAGGCAGCAAGCAGCCCAGTGCCACACAAATGAACATGCAGCGCGGAAAAGATGCGAAAAGATAGCGAGTGGCATGGCAAAAGGAGCCGGGCTCGCATTTCAGCAGCTGGGCGAGATAAAGCAGCCGCGATGATAACCCTTGACTATAAACATATATATGTATCTTATGTATTACAAACGCATAAACTTTATGCATAACACAATTTATAAAAAGGGCCAAGGAGTGGGAGAAGAAGTTGAGTTACTTGGGACCATTTGCTCGTTAACATTAAATACTTCTGGTTGGGGCATGGGCGTCCTATAAAGTCATCATTTTTTTGAGGAATGGGAATAAAAACCAACTAAAGAAAGAAACGAGATTGTACTATTTTTAAAGCAAGCTTTTAATAACTAAGTGATACTATGCATATTTGATATCCCCCTTGACCCACGCCTCTGGTCGAAAAAGAAGACAGTGCTGACTATTGCCTTATCACAGGACTTTGATGTCAGGACATTCGAGCGTTTGATGGGCCACCGCTTAAGGATACTTGATATTTCCAATCAATGCAGGCCCATTGCCTCCGAAATGGCCAAATACGGTTATAAGTTGCATCAAATGTTGATGGCTCCATTGTGATCCCAGCGCTTTTTTCCTTTATTTATGACGGGATTTATGGGCCCTGAAAGGGGGAACCGCCCGGACAGACCCCGACCACACTGTTCTCCCGGGGTCAACTCCCGGGTCTAATTGTGAGAACAAGAACATGCGTGGTCGGTTCAAGAACAGAACGTTAGTTAGCTTACCGCCATAAATCATTCTTTATTTCACTCACGCACACCATCCAAAATGAATGGGCCAGGACATTAGCACCTTCTTGGCCAGCAAATCAAGTCCTGGGAACGGCTCTGTCTGTGTATGGGTGTGTGTGTGTGCCTGTGTATGTGCGTGGGCAGTAATTAATTATGGTGTTATTTAATTTAATTGTGTGCGGCATTAGGAGGCACTCACTCGGCCAAGTGCCTACAAATGGGATTTCTTTGTTAGAGGGTGCGTAGTATTTTAAATTCCAAATAAAACGGAAGGTTTTTAGATATATTTTAATTGATTTAATTGTACCTAAACAGTCTATCTAAATCACCTATTAGCTATAATTTTGAACACATATACAGAATTACAAATATTTTTCTATAAATACCATTTGAAATCAAAATAAATTAATCATTAAGCTGCTGGGCTGGCAGTTATATTTGCCGTCAAATTGATTTCGGTTTGGTCATTTTCAAAACATTTCCAACACATTCTGTATTCAATTTGGCTCAGTTATTGGCCCCAATCAAGGCTTGTTTGGATGTCAGCTGAACTTTGCCCCTTCCGCTTCTGTTGCCACCGATGTTGCCCTTTTGAGTGTCAAACCCGAACCGCTGCTGACAACGATATTTTGATGGGGGTCATGTGGAAAACTGACTAGGTCTTTTTCCTTTTTTCCCTTTTATTGTTTGAAAGAGCCTCTCCAGATATGTTGGCATTTTAAATTAGCGTTAATTGAATCCATATGGTCGGAGATTTGATTTCTATTTTTTGTGTTCGTGTATTGTTTTACTTCAGGACATTTCGGCAAGTCAATCAGGCGGTCCATCAGTCAGCCGTCAGGACGAGTGTGAGCGTGAAAAAGGAGCCTTCAAGTGACAAGGACAAATGGCCGGAAATGAGTCTGTGGCCATTCTTACGCCTACGGCACTTGAGTCGAGGCCAAATTAAATTCAATTCCGTATATCGTACTATAGGGCCAATCGGATCTGCTAATTGTCATTTTCAATGCAAATAGTGGTGCATATGTTACTAGCTGGGTGCTTTGAATCGGAAAGCGATAAATAATAAATGGTTTTCGGGTGAAAAACCACAACTAATTACAAAAGCACATACTCTTCGCTCTCGAAAATAATTTCCATTACTGATTTCCAGCAGAGTACGGACAGAGCATCATTGGGCCGGGGACTGGATAATGCACTTTATTTACACCATTTATTTATACCATTTCCTAGTTGGGCTCCCGGAGGTTAATCAGCTAGAAAATCAACAGTTGTGCATAAATAATTCCGTGTTCGTGTTCGTATTTATTCCTGCCCTGGTCCTTGTGCATTGAACCATAAGTGTGCAACTAACAATTTATTAACTGTCCCCTCTGGTTGTCACTTTCAACCATTTAAATGCTTTTTTGCTGGACACTGCCTAATTAATTTTACACTTTGGCCATTCTCAGTTGTCTCTCTTAGCGGCTTTCTTCGGGAATTTCATAAATATTTAATGCAAAATAATTAACAAACGCGAATGCGAACGAGAGCGGGCAAAAAGCGATGATTGATTGCCTCGTGCTGCCGTCGGGACAATCATAAAATTTCCGTTAATCAAGTTTTATTAATTAAACCCAACAAAATGTGTCCCCTCTGCCCACATCTGCTGTTAATTGTACCTTTTCCCGGCCTGGTCCAGCTCTGGCCTGGCTCTGTAAATCATTCCCTGCATCTCCATCCCGGCTGACCCAGATCGAAGAGTTGAGCTCTGTCATCGGGAATTAAAACTTTTTCCGGAACAGCCACCCGACAGCTTGGCCATAATCCTTCAGATTATGGCATTCAATTTGACATTACTTTTGACCATTATTTTTTTTAGGTGGTATAAATTTAATTATTTGAATAAGTCACCAAAAATTGAAGAAAGCTCTTTGGTTTCATTTCAGTTTTATTGGAAATGATTCAAGATGGGCCTTTATTAGAGAGTATGTAGCTGCCTTTCAAATCATATCTTTGCCAATTAAATTAACAATTAATTCTCAAGCGGAATACCTTAAACGATTTGTAGATCGATTCTCCGTGAATCTGCATCAAAATCTGGGAACAAAATATTTTTTCAATTTTTCGTCAATTTTTCTGGTGGGTCCCCTTTGAAAATTCCAAAAATGCATCGAAGGACAATATGAACCACAACGATTGCTATATCTTTGTCGATAATCATCCGATTCTCAAGCGGAATACCTTAAACGATTTGTAGATCGATTCTGCGCGAATCTGCATCAAAATCTGGGAACAAAATATTTTTTCAATTTTTCGTCAATTTTTCTGGTGGGTCCCCTTCGAAAATTGCAAAAATGCATCGAAGGACAATATGGACCACAGCGATTGCCATATCTTTGTCGATAATCATCCGATTCTCAAGCGGAATACCTTAAACGATTTGTAGATCGATTCTCCGTGAATCTGCATCAAAATCTGGGAACAAAATATTTTTTCAATTTTTCGTCAATTTTTCTGGTGGGTCCCCTTCGAAAATTGCAAAAATGCATCGAAGGACAATATGGACCACAGCGATTGCCATATCTTTGTCGATAATCATCCGATTCTCAAGCGGAATACCTTAAACGATTTGTAGATCGATTCTCCGTGAATCTGCATCAAAATCTGGGAACAAAATATTTTTTCAATTTTTCGTCAATTTTTCTGGTGGGTCCCCTTTGAAAATTCCAAAAATGCATCGAAGGACAATATGGACCACAACGATTGCTATATCTTTGTCGATAATCATCCGATTCTCAAGCGGAATACCTTAAACGATTTTTAGATCGATTCTGCGTGAATCTGCATCAAAATCTGGGAACAAAATATTTTTCCAATTTTTCGTCAATTTTTCTGATGGGTCCCCTTCGAAAATTGCAAAAATGCGTCGAAGGATAATATGGACCACAGCGATTGCCATATCTTTGTCGATAATCATCCGATTCTCAAGCGGAATACCTTAAACGATTTGTAGATCGATTCTCCGTGAATCTGCATCAAAATCTGGGAACAAAATATTTTTTCAATTTTTCGTCAATTTTTCTGGTGGGTCCCCTTCGAAAATTCCAAAAATGCATCGAAGGACAATATGGACCACAGCGATTGCCATATCTTAGTCGATATTCATCCGATTCTCAAGCGGAATACCTTAAACGATTTGTAGATCGATTCTCCGTGAATCTGCATCAAAATCTGGGAACAAAATATTTTTTCAATTTTTCGTCAATTTTTCTGGTGGGTCCCCTTCGAAAATTCCAAAAATGCATCGAAGTACAATATGGACCACAGCGATTGCCATATCTTTGTCGATAATCATCCGATTCTCAAGCGGAATACCTTAAACGATTTGTAGATCGTAAATATTTCTGTTGAAATTTTGATAGTATGCTTATTTTCATATAAGTATCCACCACCCAGTTTTTATGATTTCGTTTTGTTTTTTTATGTCAGTTATTTGAAATACTTCAAATTGGAAACGCAATTTCATAAATAAGAGAGCCAATTTGTAAAGGTTAAAGAAACACAATTAAGCTAATTACATGATTAATGTGATAACGCCATTGTACACATGAATCAAAATTGCTTGTTCCATGACCTAGAAATCGATATGTAATAAAAGATTATTAGTTGTTCATAAGAGTTTTTAAAACCAAATAATTTATGACATAAAAGTATTATTTATTGTATGAGTTTAGGATTATTGTGCCCACCAATTTATTTAAGTGTATGTCAACTTTCCATTCTTTTAATTGCCCATGTTCTGATTTGTTTGAAAACCCATGAAAATGTTTCCTACCAGTTTGTCGTAGAACGCACGAACAAATGGCTGTTCTCTTCGTCTTCCGGGAACCGGAAACGGTCTATGACTGCGCCAGTGTTATCTGCGGCCTGCAATACATAATGGGATGCAGCGGATTCTATGGGCGTGGCAGCCAGTTTCGGATCAGTCGATGGCGTAGGCTGTACTCCTTTACGGTGGCCACACTTGGCCTGTTGGGGCTATATGGCTCCCTGAGTGCCCTCCTTGCCGACGCAGACTTGCGTAAACGACTCTTCGCCTCCGACAGTCTAGTGCTCAGTATTGCCGGAATGGAACTGGTCATGTCGACGATGGTGTATGTGATTAGTGTCCTTTCCCTACAATGTTACGCCCGACGACACATGAGAATTTACGCCCGATTAGCCGCCCTAGACAATAGATTAGTACGAGATTTTGGTGCCAATCTGAACTACCGGAAGATGCTCCGAAAGAACATTGTTTTATTGGCCTTGGTGAGTTTCGTCTACCTGGTGGCCATTAATAGTGCTGCCATCCAGGTAAGTAGCAGCCACCGAGCTCTATTCCTGGTGGCCGCATTCTCCTACACAATTGTCACTGGAGGACCTCATTTTACGGGCTATGTCCACATGAGTTTGGCCGAAATGTTGGCCATCCGGTTCCGGTTATTGCAGAGAATTCTTGATCCGAAATTTCTTCAATGGAGGTTTCCGCAAAAGCAGGTAAGGAAGATAGAAACACCATGTCAATTGGATCTACATTAGAACCTACTCAGTTAAGGGAATTACGCATACGCCAGGTGGTGGCAATGGTCCAGGAACTCCATCATCTCATCATTGAGATAAATCAGATTTATGCTTTGAGCCTGGGCTCAGCCATGGCCCATGATTTGGCCATAAGCACTAGTGAGCTGTACATATTATTTGGCCAGTCTGTGGGAATGGGAGGAGGATATCAAACCGATGATGATGTTCAGGAACAGGAAATGCGCCAGAGGCTTCTCGGTTACGTGGCTCTCTGTATGATCACTCCGCTCTACAAGCTCCTGATAGCTCCTTTCTACTGCGATCGAGCCGTCACAGAAGCCAAGAAGTGCCTTCGACTGGTCGAGCAATTGGATATCTGGTTTCCCAAAAGTCCCTCCTTGAGACTTCTTGTGGAATCCCAAATGTGCTGGCGGAGGCAGTCCAAGACGCAGTTCACCGGCGGTCTAGATGTGGTTCTCAATCGAAGGGTTATAAGTATGGTAGGTCTATTGACATTTCAAATATTTTGCATTTAATAGATATTGCTGTTTCACTTTCAGTTTACCTCGGTCTTGGTCAACTACCTTTTGATACTCATACAGTTTGCAATGACCCAGAAAATGGGTGAACAAATCGAGTTGCAAAAGATTGCTCTACAGGATTGGATTGGATACTAGCTCAACTCTATCTTGAAACTATGTCTTGTGTTTTTGTTATGAATTCAGGATGCTGTCTGGATTAAAATATTGGCTTATAATAAATAAATAAATAATATTATGGTGGGTTAAAAATGGTTGTCCGTTGAAATGTATTTCCCTATTAGGTATAACCCAAAGCAAAAAAAAACCAATTTATAAAACAAATTAAAGTAACATTGTGGAGTCTTTAGGTGCCTTTAAGTATCTTTCATGCCCAACCCTGGGGTTTTATTTATCATGGACTAAATTAATTTACTGCCAGTAGCTGCTTAACATGGAAACTCCATAAATAAGTCAACCCCCACGACAAACTCCCAGTTGCAGACTTCTTGCGCCCACTGTCCACTATCCAGAGTCCTCTGACCAGGAGCGACTGCACCCATGAGAGTCGGCTAATGATTATTACGTTTGTCGTTTTATTTTATTTGAATTTTATGTAAATTGCCTCCAGGGGGAGATCGAGGCCAGAGGCAGGTTTTATCAATGCAGGCCTTGCCCGTGTCCAGGTGGAATCCTCGAAGGCAGGCTGGCTCTCAGCTAATTGAGTGTGGAATATCATTTCTATCGATTTTGCAAGTCAATCAGAGCCACGCCAAGGCGGAAATACCCGAGGAGAATTTTTGGTATTTTTATTAAATATTTGTCGTTCGGATTGGCACGAATTCTCAATTTTTCTCCGTCCATTCCATCGATTTAATTTGGAAAATCAAAGTTGAAAGATTCGCTTGAAGGCAGAACCAACTGCCACACGTATTATGAGGATTCTCTGGGCCAATGACTGTTATTACTTCAATTTATGGCCTCCACATTCGAGGCTGACTGAAAGCGAGTCTTTGTGTATTTATGGGAGCGCGGAGGCTTTTATGCTCATCGCTGCCATTGTACTCGGTATGGCGCTTAATTGAATAATATTTTTTCGCTCCACCCCCGATCCTGTTTGGCGCATTCTTTCGCCACATTCAAGTCCTTCCGATGGCAATGATTGCAATACATTTACACACAAATATCGAGCGCCATATAATTTGCAATAATTACCAAAGGCAATAGCAATAGCCTTCGTTTTTGCCTTCTGCCTTTCAAGGAATAATCGTATGCGACTAATTGAAAATTGATTGCGCCCTCTTGGTCCGAATAATTACGTGAATAAAATTTTCCTCCAATAAAATATCAAATGGGCGAAAACGTCGAATATTTTGCGTTGTATTTTTGGACCAGGCTTGCTGGATTTTTTTTCTGATTGCTTGAATGCGTCAATGCATGAAAAACCAATTTTGTTTGTTCGAATTGTGCGGATGATTTTTGATATGTTTTTGGAAAAAGGCGATAAAAAGATTTCTGCCACTGTTTGTTTCGAATATTTGATGAAATGAAATTTTAAAAAATATTCTACTCTGCTTTGGTGGACCATGACAGTAATGCTATCACCCATTTAGCTTTAAATTTTTTGAATCATAAAAAATTGCATTTTGGTTTCTATTTCAATAAAACCATTTATCTATTTTTAAAGTCCCCTAAAAACTCTCCTATTACCAAAAAAGAATCTACCTTTGTAAACGTGAAAAGTTAGATTTCCTTTTCATATTGTTTGGAACGAAGAATGAAAAAAAGAGTGAAACACCAGCTACCCCAGCTCTGGCAAAAAGCTGACAAGCTTTTGTAATGTCCGAGCCAAAAACTCATAATAACGTAACCCGCTTTACTTAACTAACTCATTTAAAAGTTTCACTAATAGCATGCCACACATGCACAGGACAGCGAATGCCATGGAGGGTGTTGCAGGGGCATGAATGAGACGATGAGAATGGGAAATGGGGAACAGCATGTGGCGTGTGCTTAGCCCAATTAAAATGTGGTCAGGGCTGAAGGTTCCACCACTCGCGCACTGCCCGCATCAGTAAAGGAGCTAAAAGAAAAGGATTTAAAAATTATACAAACTATAGGATATCCTTTAAATTGTGGGACTGAAAGAGACTTAAGAGAGGAAAAATGGCTATTTATGTATATGGCTAATCGAATTAAATTTTGAAAGTACTCCATTTTCCTATGAATACATCATACCCTTATAAACCAATAGGTATTTAAAAAGGGGAATCGGGGCTTAAGGATTCGAGGACGAGGCTGATGCTCTGAGGCAGCGGCAGCATCTGCCTCAGTTTATGCACAAAAGTCGCAGCAACAATGCAGAAATAGTTGAGTTTTTGCAGCTCGGCTCCTTTCCATTTTGGAGCTTAATTAGCAAACGTGGCAGGCTCAGGCTCAGACTCTGCTCAGCTTTTGCTTTTTTTATTCGCCGGCTGGCTCTCAACCGTTTTCGCACCTGCATGAGGAACACAATGGCGAATGAAATGTGTTTACACCACGGCATAATGGCCTGGCGAGCTGGCTCAAATTAGGGTTAAGTTAGCTGACAAAAAGGATTCATTATAATTATTCGGTCCAGCGGCTCAGAAAGTCGAAAGAGAATCGTCGAGTATGACAGTGTGACATAGTGTACACATAGCTTGACTTGCCTGTCAATAAGCCGTTCGAAGGAGACTCACAGATACTTTAATTAGATTCGTATGTTTGTTCCCGCACCATTCTACTGTGTGTTTTACTGTCATCCCAACCTTCTGCCCCCCTGGCTCTCCGTCTGTCTGTCTATCTGTTTGTCTACCCACTTGTCAAGTCAATCCACATTTATTTATTTGCATAACTTCCACTTAAAGTGTCAAGCTGAAGTCGAGATACATGAATCTTAGCCATGTTTCTTCAGCATTTGACAGTCAAACAGAGAGAGAAACGAGAGTTATGGCCGAAGGATATACAGGCTAAAGGATAAAAGGGCAAAGGGTAGTCATATTCAATTCACATGCAAATATAATAGTTGCGCCACACTTTTGGGGCAAACATTTAAACAGATTCCCAGGCAAATATTTGAGGCGGTGTGTTAATCAAGAAACAAATGAAATATTACGCATACCACCCGTGGGCCCCGCAAAACACTCTCGGCTTGCATAATTGATAGCCAATCAATTAAAACTCACTCCTCACGCTCTCGGAAATAAAGAAATGCCATTGAGGCCTTGAAAACACCTTGCGGCCAATCACTTGGGGGCCCTTGAAGGATCTTCGGGGACCTCTTGATTCCGATTGCACTGGCCTCGTATTTCACATGCAAATCCACTCAATTAAAGCAATTTCGATGCAGCACGGAGATCTTGGGACAGACGAAATGTTGGTTACATTGTCGGCTTTAAATTAAAAATGCATTAAGTGCGAAATGTAGTTGCATTGTCCCCCACCAACACCAGCACTAGTACCACATACCAGTTGCCGCCCTTTAAGCCGCCTTCCATTCCTAATGAGGCCAGACACAAACATTTACCCACGTAATAAACATTTTACGACTGTGACTGCGCCGTGTGAGTGTTTATTTATTCAAATGCATTTAAAATAGCATGAAATGCCATAAGGAGGCGACACTTAACGAGCCCAAGACAGAAGACATACATACGCAATCGGCGTGTGTGTGTTTATATCCCTGATCCCAGCGAGACGAGGACGCAATCAAAGGAGGCCAGAGCCAACTGGAGGAGAACTCTTCAGGCTGAAGCATTCGCCATATCGCAGCGTAAACACTGAAGCCTCCTTTCACTCAGGGCAATGTCAAGAGCGACTCACATGAGCAGGTGAAAAAGATGGCTGGCTGGTGCCAGGAACAGGTGCCTTCAGTGGGCGGCACATCCATTAATGCATTTACTAGTCTTTGCCCTGTTCTCTTCGTGCTGGCTGCTCGCTCATTTTGTTTGCACAGTCCAAGCAAACGACTTTACAAGTGTCGCAGCTGCAAGGACATGGCTAAAATAACACACATCCTGCACACTCGCATACATGTATGTATGGGCCCATCTAATTCGAGTGCAAAGAAACAAGCAAATTACGAGGGCTTTGTGCAGGCTGCTTAGCAAAAAATGAACAAGAAGGTGGCTTGGCAAAAAAAAGGGCAAAGGTTGAGGCCATTTTTGGCCGAGGGTCATAAGCATTTGACCAAGTCATTTTCAGCAATGCCCAGCTGAGAGGCTTTAATACAACCTGTATATTTTAGTGACAGTTTCCCCATCAACTAAACTGTTAATGTCCATAATAAATGACCGAACGATTCAATTGGAATACAACGAATCAATATTTTGTTTAAATGCACATTCCCCTCATTATTTACTTATTGGCTTCTTTCAAACCCAAACTCATTGATGGTGACAGCGCAGTAGAAATCATTAGGCTTAGTGGTGGCCCAACCAAATCATATCCTTTCCACCAGGCTTGTGCCACAAACCATACAAAGTCCGCTGGCGGCAAATGTTGCATGCAAAAATGCATCGCAAATTGCCGCACATCCGAGTTTACACCCAGAAAAGCCGACGGCCAGCTGCAGCCTATCTCCGTCACATATGGGCACACAAATCCCGGCATTACCCCCATATATAGTATCTATATATCTACCCTCCCACAGAGTAGTTTGTCGACAAAGCGACAAGTCAGCGAGGCTAATTCCATTGCTATTTGTAGGGAGAAGGGGCTGTTTTTGAAAGCTTGGGTTTAAAGGGCTTTGAAAATTATTTTAGGCAATGTAGGGTAGACTACTTTAAGTCTTAAGTTAATAATTAATACCCCCAAACAAGAAAAGCTTTGTAACACAAAAAGACTCTCCTCAGCTTGAAGCTTGGGCTCTAAAACCTTAAAACTCTTTTTTTATGTATTGAATAGTATATAACCCTATAGATCCCCTTACACTCCATTATATCACCCTTAAGTCTTAGACTCAAAATACCTAGCATGCCGATTGAAGACAGCATTTGGCAATAATTTAAAGCACCGAATTCCCAGCCACTTGCCGAGGGAAATCTGAGACAAACACATCCGCCGGATGTCTGCGCCAAAATCAATGAACAAGTCAGGTAGAACCGGAGCAATAGAGATAGACATAGTACCACAAAAAG